AACCCTTGGGCCAGGTAGGCACCAGTTCCACTGGCTGAAGCCACCACACTGCATGGAACACGAAGGCCAAGTTTTGGGACCAGAAAGAAGCCATTCTCAGAGGGACTGGACTCTGTAGCTTGTTAGTTAGGGCAGAGAGGTCTTTCCACACATAATCCCCTCCTCCCTTGCAGCCAAAGCTGTATCATGCCTTCCATGACCAGCTTTGCCCAGAAAAGAAGAAAAGGAAACTTGTCTTTGCATATGTTCCGACTGTTGCCTTCTCTTTCCCTCACAGCTCAAGGAATAGAATTTCTTCCTTTATGTTTTTAGCATATACTTAAACATTTTTTTAAGGTTTCATACTCAAGTCCAGCCCTACTTAAGCAAAGAATTCAGAGATGATATTTACAAGTCCAGTGTAATTACTGCGGGCTTGAAAAACGAGTTCTGTGAGTTACGGTGCATCATTGTTTTTCTTTTTTCTTTCCTTCTTTTTTTTTTTTTTAATGTTACAAAGAACAATGTGCCTTTCATTTCCTGCAGTGCTGTTAAGGTACTTGCAGCTCAAAGCAGCGAGAATACATTAAAGCTAAAAAGCATTTGGTTTGGGCATTAAACATTTTTATTTTTTTAGAAAAATGTCTCTCCCTCTACAGAAGTTGTCTGAGCAATGGATTTGGCACCCTTTTGCAATCAGCTGTAATAATGAATGCTACTTTACTCACTTGAAATGGGAGAATTTACTGACTTCTTTAAAAAGAACTTGCTAATCTACAATTGAAGTGCTTTGCTACCAACTCTGAGTTACCAAATCACAATCCCACCTGCTCGAGAGCCATCAGTAGCCTGTCGAAAATGACACAGCATTCTCCTGCTTTCACAGCACGCTCGGTGTGCACCTTTACGCTGCAGTTATTAATTCACCAGTGCCACCACATCAAACACAAACATCACCGTGTGAATGCCTGACATCCATTTACTGACAGCAGCAGCACAACTCTGTCCCACAGTTATTAACCACTCTATGCTACATCCTCCTTGCCTTTCTCCGGAGTTAAACTCCTGCTGGAGCAGAGCAGGATTTGACTTCTAATACTCTCTGAAAGCTAGAGTCACAAATATCCCCTCTTTGCAGACAGAAAGAGCAAAAGGTTTTCCTACAAAAGTTTAAAATAATCCTACTTACAAAAAGAAAATCTATCTGATAGCTGTTTCCACAACTGAAAGTGAGAATAAAAGCCTGAGAGAGAGTCCACGGCAGTGCTGAGCTGGGAATTCAGTTGTTCCTGATCCCCAGGCATGCAGTCACTTCACTACATCAGACTACCCATTTTGTCATCCTCACTTCACTGAAAACCTAGTTTGTTTATAAAATACAACACCAAACCAGTGCATTTAACAAGCTTTTAAAATCAATAATTTTTTTTTTTTTGATTGGGTGAATTGCAAAATCACTTTGCAGTGCCAACTGAAATGAAGCTTTTACATACCATTAGGCAACTACAAAAGTGGGGAATTTTCCACATGGGTGTTCCACCCAGCTGGTCAGAAAAAAACCTCTTTTGAGCAAAATATCAGGGCATCAGAACATGCTCCTGCCTTTCAGATGAAGTTGCTGGCCTCTTTCAAAATCCCTTCCGCAAATCTACTCACCCATATAACAAACAGAGAAATTCTGGGGTTTCTGCTTCTCCCCAAAAAGCTCTTTCCCTTGCTAAGGGAGCAGCACTGTGCACACCCTGTGGGTATGAGTTAGTTTTACCCCCAGTTCCAGGACAAAGCATCTGGACCTTGGACCATGCATGCACCAATGAGCCCAGTCTCGCCTGCGTGTTTGCTTTTCGTGGCCATCAGGCTAGGTGTCTCTCTCTTTCTCTAGGAAATAATTAAATGTTCAATATTTCTGTAAATTTTTGCATTGGTGATCAGGTAAGTGACTGCCTGAAAACTATTCTAGCTTAATGAAGGCTGAAGGAAAGGCAAGAATTGGTGTTGAAGCCACCACTGAGAACAGAAAATGTAACCATCTTCTCTGCCTGAGATGAATCTGCTCCAGAAAATGTGACTGTAAAGCCCACTAGAAGAAAAGGAGTGGCTTTAAAAAAGAAGAGCTTTTTTTCCCGTGAACTTCACTTTAATGAAGGTTAGACATACAGGCTTTCCAAAACAACACATACAATTTAGAATGATAAATTAAAATTTGTAGTAGGAGGCCTTCTTTTTCAGGGCTGTATAGTTGACCCTTCTGAACCTACATTACTCAAGGTATGCAAAATATATGTGTATAATAAATAGCTCTAGAATTTATGGAGTGGAACAGAAAGGATATTAACAGGCAAGTAGAGAGGCTGTATAACCCTCACAAGGCCTTTAAAGATTTATTTTTTTAAAATGAAGGAATGCATGCATGGAAAAGGTAGTACTGAATTGATACACTTCTTTGTGCTTTCCAGAAGCACATGCAAAATGATTCCAAATCTGCCCCCAAATCTGGTCATTCCACTGTTGGCATCAGGGGGAATAAGATTATTCACGATACTATTTTTCTTTGATTTAAAAAAAAATAAAACATTCCTCTCTGTGTGGGCTCATTCTTACTCTCAGTAAAATCAATTACGAGCCTCCCATTGACTCCAGAGAGATTTGGATCAGGCCCTGTGGAAGTGGGTCTACAGCAAGTGTAGAACAACGCAGTTAATATGATTTATTGTGTCCGTTTCTGTGCGTGCAGTTTTTCATTTTCTAAAGCCTGCAGTTTTGCTTTCATCCTCACGTTCAGGAGATAAGAGCTGCAGATCTGTGTTGATCTACACGCCGGGTACCCTCGAGCTGGGGGCTGTGTGTGCTGGGAATGAGCTCAGTGTCTGCCTGGGGGGAAACAACCCCTTTAGGGCCAACACATTGGTAAAGAAAATCTCCCACACAGGCAGTGCAAAAGGTGCGTAATCAGTGAGGAGGTTGCTGCTGTGGTAGGGAAAAATACCCTTTAGTAAAACTGAGAAAAAAAGAAAAAACATTTTCCTGTTTATTAAAAAAAAAAAGTACCTTTTGCAGGTCACCAACAAAGTTCCAAGAATTCACTCAAAGATTGTTTTACAAAGAAGACTCAGGCTCCAAATCAGATATATTTCATTTCACTAGGCTCTTACAGATTTTACATTATTAAACACTGACATTGCTGCTTTTCGGGGCAGTTATTGAGTAACAGTCTTCGTTAAGACTGAGAAACTGCAGGGTAAGAAGAACTGAGCTTTAATAGCTGTGAAAGAATATTATTTAAACACAAAATAATAACATGCTTGGTGCCTAATACATTCTAAATTAAAATATGATTTAATAAACACAGGCAACATATTCCCCATAAAAAAACCCCAGCAGAATTGGCAGAACAAAAATCACAGTTTAGTCAGTTCTTCTCTTAACCTTGCAATCCTTTGGCTACAAATTAGAATTTCTGTGAAAAGGATTGATAAGGGAAATTAGGCACTGTCTTTCAGAAACAACAGCAATGTTTTAAGATAGTATGTTTGGATGAACAGCACAAAATCTATCAAAATATGAAACCTTTCATATTTAATGTGAGGAAATGCAGGAACCCTGAAAGCCAAAATCTTACCAGGCCAATGAGCCCTATGTTCTGTGTCCTATGATACATGCTGGTAATTTAAAGGTTTTTATGTACCTAAACCTCTTATTCTCCCCTTAATTTTATCTCCTGTTGAAACCCTAATCCAAAAAGCAGTCTGGATGCGAATGCAGCCCTTCAGCATCACTCTCCCTTGTTTACTTGCTAATGAAGCCCCCAAAACACACACTGACCACATATACAGCTGAAGAGATTTAAGGCAAAAGCAGTTTGTTGCTCTGTGAAAGGGAAATCATAGCTGTATTATTATAGATACAATATTTTTACATGAATTTACACATTCCAAAAATTGTGACAGGGTTCAGAGGCATAAACCTTCACACAAATTCTTTTCTATATATGCAGAGCAGACCCCGGTACAGTGGATCCCCCAATCTACATTTAGGTCTTACAAAAAAAGTCTGGTTATGAATAAGAAAAGTCAAGAAAAACTAGTAATAATAATCACTTTCACTTTGGGAGACATTCTAAACCCTAAATACAAGTAGTAAAACAAAACTCAGTTGCCCATGGGCCAACAAAAATTGTTGAGGTCTACCTTAGTTAAACAAAAAAAGGAAGAGAAGCTGTTCCATTACACACATATTTATCCTTTCACATACAGTCCCTACAGAAATTCACTATTATTGAATGATTTTTTTCGGGCTGCTTTACAAGCAAGCCATTGGTTCAGTAGAAACTATTGCTTCTACTTTAAAACCGTCCCAGTCCAAAGAACACGAGCGTTCCCAAAAGTCACAGTCCTGCTGCTGCTTCCAAATAAGCTCAAGCCGCTGCCACCTGAAACCATGGTATTGAGAACATGGAGAGAAGAAGGGGCAAGGAACTATAGTTGAGACACCCTGACCTGTTTACTCATGGTATCTACAACCTTTAAAGCATGATCATGAAAAAATACAAACTATAGTAGCACCTGTATCAGCCCTGCAGTGGCACCTGCTTGAGCAGGTACTTCAGTATGTCATGTGAGAGCATCAGTAAACAAAAAGTAGTTAAAAGCACATAGATAAAACCAAAAGTGATGAAACACACACCCCTAGTAGGTCCTGACTCATGGCCCAGGGACTGAAAGCCTTTGCTATGTAGGAATAAGGATAAGGGTTGCATACAGCAGGCTCTGTAATAGCATCTCCCTAATTAAAATTATTTTTAAAGGAAAAAAATTCTCTCTCCAGGACTGGAGAAACAAATGCTGCCTGAGATCAGTGAATCAGTAGCATTTTAACTATGAGGAGAGTGCACACCCTCTTTGTAGCTGTCCCATGTCAATTATTCTGGATAATCTTTTTATATTAGGCATGGGGAAAAAAAAGTCTTTATAAATATGGGCTGTTTTAATATCCCAAAGCAGGAGCAGCAGGTAAGAACTTACCATTTTCTGGCTGGTCCTTAATATCAGCTTCACTTGGCTGGCTGGGACTTTCAGATTGACTTGAATCTGAAAAACATAAAATACAGCCAAAAATTACAGGGTCTGCTGTGGAAAATAGATCAGAGGCGCCAGACTTCCTCAAAAGGTTGAGAGTACAAACTAAGCACAGGAGTGTTGCACTAGGACATGATAATGCAAAAGTCCCGTGCCCAGGTAATATGTTTGTAAGCAAAAAAAAAAAGGGAATCTTGTTTACAGCACTACACAGAGTGCTTGGGGTGTGTGTAAACACAAAATAAGCTTTGAGAATCCTTCTTTTTAAAGAAGGCATGTTTAAATTACTCTCCTACATGTTTTTTATAATGCAGCCTCTATGTTGTATACAAACCAGAGCCTTACTCCAACACATAGTAAAGTCTCAAAACATATCTTCAAGCAGGCATAGAAAGGTAACTAAGCAACCCCACAAAGTCGTGGAGATTTTTGGCTACACATTTCTGGAACAAAATCTGCAAAACTGAGAAAAGAGCTGGGTTTTGGCGTACTTTCTCAGTGGTTACAGTACTACAGGAGCCCTAAAATGTACGGTGTTGGTGGTGAACTGCAGTGGGATAAATGAGACCTGATACTGGATGACCTGCTTTAGAACTTGTGTAAATAATCCTACAAACAATTTATTTGCCTAAAATAATAAAATTATTTATATGTGTAAATATGAGTGTTTTGCTTTTTTTACATTTTATTAACTCTACTTTATGTGAAGATGATTGCTCTTTGGTCCAAGAATTATTCTTAGTAGAAGCTTTAGTCAAATAGTATTTTCCTTCTTAATTATTTCTGCCACTATGAATTGGGGAAAAAAGGTCCCTTTACCTGTGGGAAAAAAAATTTTTTTAAAAAAATCCCTCAAATTACTGTTTTTGCAATTAATACAATTTTATTTTCCTTCCCCAGAAATTGTTCTGTAATTTACCGATTCCATAAAAAAGTTTTTGCTGTGAAACAAAACTTAGGCAATGAACCCACTTGCTACTGCCTCAAACCCACCCCTAATCATGACAAACCTATTTTCTGACTTCACCTTGACTTTGCAGAGTTTGGAATTAGCTGTCTGAAATCTGACCACATTTCAGTGAGAAGTCAATGCAAGATCAAAAGGTCACGACACTTAACTGTGATTAAATTGAAAATCTTACTTCTATTGCAACAGAGTCATAACACCACCCCTTCTTTTTCTTTGAGGTATTAATAGCGCTGGAAGAAGCAGTACTACTAGTGACCTTGGGTCAAGCAATGCTAATTTATTGCTTTAAAAAGGTTCCTTGCTTTTAAGCAAATGAAGATTTTAATTACCGCAGAGCACTATAAAGAAAATGCCTATTTTAAATATTCAAATTTTTTTTTTTACCTGCTGACTGTCTGCTTTAGGTATCATTCAGAAGCTTAGAGGACAATCTTGTATAAATTAAAAATTATAAGTGAAAAAAAGCACTCGCAAAACAAAAATTGATAAATTTCAGATTATAAACATTCAGAATATTTAGCCAAGAAAGCATCAGTCCTGGTACTTCTATTTAAAATAATGACATTTTCCTAAAAAGTGCTAGATTTCCCAGTGTGTCCAGAATCCATTTTATCTCTTTTGTATTTTTTATTTTTAATAATTTCTCCAATGAAGCTAAGTGAAAAAAAATATTCTCACTTATGCAATTTCGTTTCAAAATATTGATCTTCTGGGTTATCTTTCCCTGATAGCTCAAATCAGTGCCAGCACATAGACTATGGGGTAACATGCACAGTGCTGTTATATTCTGGACACTTGATTTTGGCAAGAAGTTTCATGTTTCCGATATCGCAAAGGTAGAAACAAAGGTAAAATATTAGGAATGTAAAATATTTAGTTAACATTTAAAGTCAACATTCAATGGATTTAATTTTACAGGGCGGGCATTAGGTTTTTGCTTATATTTTAGGTTTTTCTTTCCCTTCAACCAGCCATGGTTCAATCAGCCTTTGGGCTTTATGTTTAAAGTAGGCTCAGAATTTCACAAAAATTTATTAGATTTGGAAAAGTTGCTGCTGAAATATGGGACTCAAAGCATGTTTTCCTTTCAAAATTTGAAACAATCCAGGGAAGGGCTTTGTGGCAGTGGCAAGAGCTGGGCTCGGCGCTGGCACCTTGGCTCCAGCACAGCCCTGCAGCCGGTGGGCAGCACACACAGCCCGAGCTGCTCCTGGATTTTGGGAAACAAAGTACTTTTGTTTGCACTGAGTGCTGTTTTTCCAACACCAAGGCTAGTGGCACAAGAGAGGCTCCACTGGCCATAGGACATTTGTTTGCACACTGAATCTTAACTTTCTTCTTTTATTACCCTGGCTACTGCGATAACATTTTTCCTAATTCTATTTTCCTGTAACCCTCCCCTTTCTGCTGAAATTAAATTTTAATTTCCTAAAAAAAAAAAAAAAGACAACAAAGGCTTTAAGCACTATTCTTCATGGAGAAGCACGGTAAAACGCAGGATGAGGTAGAATTAAAGCCACTCTACACTGCAGTAGGGATCACGGGAGGCTACCGAAAACATGTACTGGGCAAGCGTATGCTCAGCATTGTTATGCAAGGTGGCATCTTGTGGAAACCCCAGATAAGAAGACTGAGTTAAGGCACTTAGCCAAAATGTTTATATGCAGAATTTTGCTTCCCTGATTTTATTCAGATGCCGCAGATGATCCGGTACATATAAATGTGCCGCCACATGGTTAAGGGATTGGCAAAATCAGAGCCGTTGTGTTTTACAGTCTTGCCTAGGACGAGGGAGTCTTGCTCAGCCTCCACCGCTCGCTCTCTGCTTTTTCAGCAGTTGGCACTAACTCCCGTCGGGGCTTTTTTGTTGTTTTGCACATGGAAACTTTCAAATTCCAGTTTTCTGAATGTTCAGTGTTTTGCGGGTTCGGCTACAACGTGAGGGGGAATGTCTGTCCTGCTGAGTCAGTTAGCCAAACAGGTGACCGTAGGAATAAATTAATTTTTGCCCATACATAATTGATATAAATGGAAGATCGTTTTCATAAGCATTTGCATTAAATCAATAAAATCACTTACTATAGAGCAGTTTAACAATTCATTTGATTTTCTCTTTTCTATATATTTGATAGCCACTCTGCAAAACAGTATACACTTTATGCCTATTTTCTTTAGTAACAACACTGCCTGTTAAATTCTACCACCTGCAATAATTAGAGCCATTGGAAAACATACAAAACAAAATATACAGTAGATGCGAGCCCCTCTTGAATCCACGGCTCCCTGCGGCAATGAGTTTCATTGGTGCCTTAAGCTAAGGCTGGTAGGAAGCCAAAGAATCTGTATATTACAATAAAGTGCATGTTATTAAGGGGAGGATTTAAATGATTTCAGATGGAGTTGGAAATATTATAGTGAGGAACCACTATTAAGATTGCTGATTAAAAAAAAAAAATCACCAAGGAATCTAGTTTTATGTTTAAGGAAGCTTAACCTTGAATAGCACAATGGGTTTTATTTGGGGGCTTTTTTAGTTAGAGAAAAGTTAGTGGTCGGAATTTTTAACCCTGAGTTAGCTACAGTTCGAGTGAGTCTGTGCACTGGAGTCAAGGTTACTGGGCAAGCAAGGCTCAAGGGGATCTGGTATCAACTGTAATCATGGCAAACAGGATAAAAAAACATATTGAAGCTATTTTACTCTCTACTTCCAAGAATCAACTATGATTAAGGGATAAAGGAAAAAAAACCCAACCAACAAAACAGGCTAGTTTTTCAAAGTAGCATTTCCTACCACATCGCTATTCTCTGTTCCTCTTTGGATCTGCTCCTTAAGCATATGCTACCCCAGCACGACCGAAGTGGTTACGCCCGAGCCCCAGGTCTGCCTGATCCCAAACCATACGCAGGCAGGGACCTTCAGCTCCAGGACGGAAGCTCTGGACTTTTCAATATGCAGTTTTCCTTTTCAGCTGCAGCAGGAACACAGCTCCAGCTGGGCTGCACGACGGCTGCATGGAAGCAGGGCTCGCGGCGCTGGAAGGGAGAGCTCCATTGTTTGGAAAGAATAAAACCTTCCCAGGAAAGTCTGGCCTGTGGACAGGACCAATGTCAACAGACTGACAATGTTGTTCTTTTTTGTAGACCGTGACACAGACGGTGTAGAGTTGTTATACCCCTCCACCAAAAAAGCCTGTTTCGAATGTCATGGCACTTCCCAGTGCTAAACCACTCCATGGCTGCCTGACTTGGGAGAAATGGAACACTCTGTTGAGCACTCCCAAAAACACACCCTGTCTCCCAGGACATGCTGAATCCAGCTTTGGATTCACTGGGGTGGCAGTGACCCCACTCTCTGCTGCTCTGCGCAAACCAAATTAATAGATGTCAAGATCATTTTTTACCTCTGTAGAGCCACCCCCCAGCAGAAGCTGTGTCTTTTGAGCAGCTTGTGAACTAACACAGGTGCAGACACATCTATCGTGGAAACAGTAAAGGTGATCCCCACGTAGTGGAGTAAAAAAATGACCAGTGATGCCAGATGAGCAAGGCAGCACTGCCATTGCCCATGCTGAGCCTGCTCTGCAGTGAAATAGAGTGGGTTCCTCTCCTCCACAGCCAGCCCAGAACCTCACAGAAGTGCACAAGTTAAATTTTCCATTCGTATCATGTTTTGGGGGGGGGGATATTGTATAATAAACTGACATATTTTATTCAAGTTTCAGAGTCCTATTTGTAATAAAAAATTTATATGGCTGGGTTGTTTTCATGCAATAAATTTTTCATCTATAATTTTGGGCATGGATTCTACCAAAGATTTATATATGTTAAAAAAAATAATTTAAATCATGCTCCTTTATATACAGCCCTATGTAGTGAGCTTAAGGGATTTACAAACAGAAACCAGGACCAGAACTGGAGCTTTTTTACACTCACTTTTCCTTCATTATACATTATAATGTAAACACATAGGGATCACTCCATACATGCTACAATTATTATTTACGGCTATTTTGGTGGCTACTACTATTTCTTTTAAGGCCTG